TAGATATTTATTATGCACATTGACAAACATTGGATTGTACTGGGAATTTATGTCAATAATTACAGCAGAAGGGAGGGAAGGACAAAGAATTTTACATTTCAGTCTTCATAGATAAAAAAAGGTGGAATAGATTTTAAAGTGCATCTATATTTCCTTTACCATATTCACACTTAGTACTGAAAGTAACAATAATAATAATGACTTTATCTTCCTATGAGCAACACACACCTAAGGACAACTCCCTCCACTCGCTCTTGCTCCAGAACAAAGTCAACTGAATTAGGAGGCTCTCGGAAGGTTACAAGGTATTGTAGACGACAAATTAATTTTTCTTTAGGTCTAAAGAAAGACCATAAATAAAGTACAAAGCATTTCCAGTTTCACGCTACTAAATAAAGTGATGATGTCAATTCAAAATCATTTCAATTCAATACAATATATATAAGTAGTTCAAAGACATAACTGGGAAGGAGTCTTGTGATATTTCAGGTTTCTACAGTCTGCATGTGTACACCCTTCCAAGGATTGCAACATTTCTTATTACAGAAAGTATTTTCTGTTGGATGTCCAGTTCATCTTTGCTCCATCAAACTAAAGTATCCTGCAGCGGTTTAGAGACTATTTACTACATACAGCTATTATATGAAGAAAAGTTGTGACTTTCAATCTCCTGAGAGCAAGAATAAAATAAGTGTTTGGCACATTTATCACATTAAACTCCATCCTTCCCCCAACCCACCCGCAAACTTTAGTTGGAAGGAATCCTACAGATACTACTGCAATATGAAAGAAAGGAAAAGAGACTGCCACCTAACAGGGAGCAGAGGTCTGAAATTAAGATGATATTGTATCTTTAAGTCCATTATTACCATAGTTATTATTTTAAGTGGTAGTCGTATTTCTCTTTTCAATTTTCAAAGTATTTTTAAATTAATGTCTGAAGATATTCTTCATCAGATATAAACAAATTTAATTATTAGTCATGCTGCCAACCCTGCTGTGGCAGTTTCTACTTTCAGTATTTCAGTTTTTTCTTTAATCTTTTAACATTTGCTAGGCCAAAACTTCCTTATGACACAGTTGTTTTCAAATAAATGACTGAATATAAGAAAAAAACCCAAACAGAAACAAAACAAACACAATTTTATAGTTCTGTATTGTCAGACCAGACTGACAAAGTAGGGCTGAACACTGCAATTACATCCATAGGCGAGGCCAACAGACATGGAATAAGAGGTTTGCAATTCTCACTTTAATAAATTTTTCTTACACATAAAACACGAAACTGAAAGTCTTATTCTTAAAAACGGTGAGGATGCTTGTGTCAGTAATTTTCTAGGAGACGGATACTGGATTTTGTCAGTGCTCCAAATAAAGATATATTATTTGGGAATATATCTCAGTGCTTTTCATAGAAGTCCTCCAGTTACTCACTCTCTCTTCGGTTTCCCAAGGGAGGTGCCTAATGTGGGGCAGCCCCTTCTCCAGCAAGGCCTGTGTGGCCCAGTACCCTGAGCAGACAGACCTCGCTGTCTTATCTTCCGGGCAGGGCTTTCCCTGCCAGTTATCTTAGCTCTGACTAGTATGTAAATATTCCTGTGGGTTACAAAAGCAAGCTCTAGAAGACAAAGCTGCCTCCCCTGCCCAACCTTCTGGTCAGGGCTGCTGCCTGAGCTGTACAGATAGCAGACCAAACTCCTCAGACGTTCACTCTCGGCCTGGTGTTTGGCTTAAAGCACCAAGGCAGGAGTATGGATGGGGTTTGCTCTACAGGACCAAGGCAAATATGGCCTTAAACAATGTGTTTTTGCCACCTACCTCAGCAAGCTTTCCACCCAATCTTAGTGGGATAATCAGACTAAAATTTACACTACTACCCACTGATGAATCAGATCATGGTTGCTAAATTAAGAAAACAGCCTAAGACTTTTTTTTTTCCCTTTTCTTCTAACTTACTTGAATGGGAAAATGGCCATTGTGCTGAAGAGTTTTGAAGGGGCCACAGAATTATGTGCACCAAGCATTTATAAAGTACCTTGGGGCGGAGCGGGGAATAGAATTAATGAACTGTCACAGACACATACACTCTTGCCTCCTTGTTCCCATTTACCTGATGGAATGTCAGTTTATCCAAAACTCTGCAAGGGTGTTAAATATTTTTCAGTTAAAAAATATTTGTGACTTCTGTCACTTCTGCAATATTTCCAAGACTGTCCTGATATCTATGATAACCGTCCACAAGATTAGAATTTCTACTTGAAACTGATAGTCTAGTGAAAACTTAGCAACATCATCCAAAACCTGACTGAATTAATGTTATTACATATTTATATGCAGTTATTATGGTGGCATTTAGCTTAACACACCAACTAGAATTGTCTGATTTCAAGGTGCAGACAGCAGAACTCTCAAGACACTGAACACAAGTCAGAAACACAGACATTATGCATATGCTATAATACAGCATACCGGCAATTGTTAAGTATAGTCAGCAGTTTAAGGGCAGGAGAAACTGGTATTCAGAAGCATTTAAGTTCATGTCTGTATTTCTGCTTTCCAAACCAAGACCAGAACAAAAAGAAAGGGTGAAAACATTAACCTATTACTAACTACAGAGTAAAGCCTTATTTTGAATTACTGAGTTCTGATGGAGTGACAACAGAAAATCTTTCCAGAATGAGGGACTGAGACACAGGTGAAAGAATGAGAGGAGTAACAACTGGTAGCAAAAAAAAAACAGTTCTGAAGACTTTGACAGTATCATTTATTGAAGCCAAAAGGTGTCCATTAAGTCCAATTATGGAACTTAATACAAACACTAAAAGATGTCTAAAAATAAGACATAAAACATGTTATCATAAGCATCTTAAGAGTGTTCTTAGGGTCTCTAGCACAGATGCTGCTAACACACCAGAAAAAAAAAACACAAAAAAACCCAACCAAACCCCAACCAACATGCAAACAGACCTTGCTATCCATCACAAAAGGCAACTGTAATGCCCGATTTGTAGAACAACTGTAATGTACGTGCTTTAAGAAATACCAATATTTATTTCTTTCACAGGCACTAGAGATATATTAGAATTTAGTAAGTCAAGTGAATTATGCTCAAGGGCTGGTAATTGTATTGACTCTTTCAGACTTAAAGAAACATTAAAAAGAAAAGTAAATGAAGACTGAAACACAACCAGAGACAATTCAATTAAATGATGTGAACGTGAGATTTGTGTTCAGAACTGAGCCATACTTTAGTCATTCTGAAGAAAAACAGTTAACATTTTATTAAATTGTATTCCATCAGACCTCAAAGATAAATGCTGTGGAAAGTGAGAATAAGTAGTATGTGTGCTTCCCCCTGAAAGTAATTACCTCCAGAATTATCTCTCAATCCATTGCTAATGGACTACAGTCACTCCATAACAAGAACTAGAATATCCAAAGAAAGTTTAAATGAAAGAACAGACTTTCAAACTGCATACAAGAGATCACTACAAGCGTTAAAGCAGAAGCAATAGTAAATGCTATAAGAACAAACAAAATCTACTAAGAATTAAGAACCGGTCTATACTTAAGGTTTTGACATGTTTTAGAAACCGAGACAATGTACAAAAATAAGTTGAAACAAGTCCCACATTTCCCTACTGTATTTAACTTACATTACTCATAAAGCACAACATGAATATGAAAATAAATACAATGTTAATATGAAAAGCATATGGTCAAATATACTGACGCAGCATAACGAGTGGGTGTGTTCAGCTGGTGCTGAACACTACCAATTATCACTCAATCTTTAACATTTCCTTTTAAAACAAAGTAAAATGCATGGGAATAAACCCATAAATTAGCAATCTACCACATGAAAATTACAAAAATTATTTCACGACCACTTGTTTAGGATTAGGGTTTCGGACACCACAGCAGAGAAACTGAAATTAGAACTTGGAAACTGTCACAGAAACTTGCAGGTGAAATAACCAAGAGCATTGCAGAGAGGAGACGTTACCGTGGCCCTAGAGAAAAGCCCTGCCGAGGTTTGGTTTTGTTTTTACGTATACCTGGCAAAAAGCAGCCTTACCCCATGACCTTATCAAACCTGCAAGGAGCCTTGATCTCCTCACCACACAAGCGCGCACGTGGATATTAACTTTCCCCAGAATCAGGCAAAACCCGGCTTTCTCCTCCAGCAAAGGCCCCCGCTTTCACAGGAGGGGAACACCGGCTCTCCCTTCCCCACACCCCGGCCATCACGGCGCGGGGAGCCCACCCGGGGCCTCCCCACGCGCGCGATTCCCGCGGCCGAACCCGGCAGCAGAAAGAACCCTTTTCTCTTCACCCAGTAGGGATGACCAAAAAAAAAAAAAAGAAAATTAAAAAAAAAAAAAAGAGACAAGCCCTGGAAAATGACGTACAACTCGCCAGCGATGACGAACCGCAACGTGCGGGCAGCGCCAGCCAGGGACGGGGCGGCCTCCCGCCCCCCACGGGCCGCGTTTGCTGCCCACGCCGAGTGGGAGCCCCCGGTTCCGTGGGGCGTGTGGGCCCCGGGACAGCGACAGAGGGGCAGCTGGCCCGGAGAAGGAGAGGCCGCCACCTAGCCCCCCCCGCCCCCCCCCCGGGGGCCGAGCAGCACGGGAAGCCGCCGGCGGCGGCTCCCGGCAAGGGGGGGGGGAGCCCTTCCCTACGCCCCCTCGGAGGCCGCTTACCGGGAGATGGGGGGAGGGGGGGGGGGGGGCGAGCGAGGCGCCCCCGCTCCCCGGCCGGGCCGTAGCGGGGAGAGCCCGCGTCCCCGCGCTCAACGTGCTGCCGCCGCCCGGCCAAAATGGCCGCCGCCCCCGCAGGGAGGGGCCTGAGCGCGCACCATAGAGAGGAGGGGAAGGAAAGGAGCCGCGCCATCGAGAAACCGCGGCCGTTCGGAGGGAGGGAGGCGCTGGGGAAGCGACGGCGGGTGACGCCATCGGCGGGTGACGCCAGCGGAGAAGGCGCGTTTCGCGAGAGGTGTGTCATTCGTCCGTCTGCCCGTCCCTTCATGTTTCCCCCCTCCCCGCCCGCTGAGGGGAACGCGCGCAGCGCCAGCCCTGCCGCCCCCTCACCCGCCGCAGCGGCTTCGTGGTATCAGGTGGGGACGCCGGTCCGCGGGGCTGAGAGAAGGAGGGGTGAGGGGAGCGCGCGTTATGGCCGCCCGCCACCACCGGAGCCGGAGGATGGGGCTCGGGAGGGGTGGCGGCTTCTCCCGCCCCTCACCTCCGGGTGCCGCGGCCGTGCCCGGGCGGGGGGCACCCACCGGCGTGGGGTGAGGTGTGAGGGGGCTGCCTAACCCGGGTCACTACCCTAGGTTTCTCCCCCCTCAGCGCCGCCTTCTTGCCTTTGCGTTGAGCCCCCTCAGAGCGCGGGCTGGGGGTTTCCTGAGTAGGTGTTGCTGATTTGCTTCCAGGATTGAAGTGTTTTGTAGGCCCGGGGGACCCGGCCATAACACGCTGTTGTAAAACGAATGAATTGTCCTTAAAACCGTGAATGAAAAGTCCTGCGACGAAGCCGTGGAGGGGAGGGCTACCAAGGAGCCCGCCTGAGAGGAGCTTGATTTGTCAAACTGGCTTCATCCTCGAGTTACTGTGGTTTTTAAAAGACTGCTTTCACTTAATATAAGCAGTTGTAAATAAGTGCTTATAAGCATATATATATATGTATATATAAGTTCTTATAAGGATAATGTAAATCCTTGAAAGAGCAGCTTATATCCTTACTAGTTAGCTTTGGAGATCTGAGCTTGTACAAAAATACGTTTTTAAAAAGTGTACTTATTTAGATTGATTAGGGAAACGTGTATAAAAACTCCTAACGTAATTCTCTGTTGCAGTTGCTCTAATTACCTAATTTTTAGTGGCATATATTTATCTTTGTGAAAATGAAAGACTGAAGTAATTTTCACTAATAGGCTTAAGGCAATATACTGAAGGCAGAGTCAAAAATAATAGGTGTTTAAAATTGTGTTGAGAGAATGAGAGATCAAACGTACAGGTGAGCTAGTTGTTGAAATCGGTTGCTGCTGAACACTTACATTATTAAATATTAACTAAACATTAGTAATTTGGATGTTCAATGTTCCTGTTTAATTCTCCCTCTGAATAAAATATAGGAAGCATAGACAGGGACTAGTTTCTAGATATGTCTTCAGATCTTTAAAGGCCTTAAACCAACAAGGGTTTGTCCAATGAAACAGGAGAGCAGGAAAAAGGGTTTGTGAGGTAAAATGAGTAGTGCAAGTACGAAAGTCAGGGAATCTAAGGTATGAAATCCCCTTCTGTTAAGAAGAACAGGGAAGACAGTGTTATAAATCATAGATGTTGCAAAAATGCTGGCGTAGTCAGTGCATTCTTTGTTTGGTTTTGCTGGAGAAGTTGTAGTTAGATACTTGCTAAAACGGAATAAAATGATATGATAGGAATGCAATCAGGATAGTAATTTTGAAAAAAGAGCAAAGCTAGCTGAGCTTTGATCCCCTGAAAGATTCTGATGAGGTGGTTTGTGAGGAGAATTTGTCAGTAAGTAGAAGACAATTAAAGGCAATGTGTGAACAGAAAATGGACTAGTTTGGTTTGTTAAAAACAGTCTGGATCAAACTTTATTTTTAACAGTAGCAGTTGGTAAGGAAGGAATATAAATGATTTGTTTTACAGGGTTTCTGCCATTGTCTGAGTTGATGTTAAAAACAAGCTACTGAAACGTGGTCTAAAACTAATTTTTGTGAGAACTTGTACAGCTGGTTGAAAAATTGCTTTTGAAGCTAACTTGTAAATAATTCACTTTTAAACAGGGATGTCATGAAGTGCCCTTCTAGGCAGTTCTGTTTTGAATGTGTTTTCACTGTTTTCTGTAATGGTGAACACAAAATTGATGTGTTGCCAAGTTGAAAGGATTGGAAGCACTGTACAATTTGGGGTCAAAACTCAAAATGATCTTAAAATTGATAGCAGATTGGGAATCAGTGTAATTAAGCTCAGTTAACAAGAACTGAGGGTGAAAGAGAACACAGAGGAAAAATCAAAGGCATAATTAGTGTAAGGGGTATTACTGAACAGCAAACAGTATCCCCCAAAAGCATTTGAGCACTGTAGTGCATAGTAAATGATACATTAATCGATAATCTGATGTCCTAGAGAAAAATTATTTTGGCATGTTAACAGATGTGATTAAATACAAAGGCAAGGAAAGTGATTACTCTGCATTGTTGAGTAAGGGCCTTAGCTAAAATCGTACAGCTGTTTGTCTTTTTTTTTAACCATAGTATGTAGATCTCTAGACTCTGCAGGAATATTAGGTTTATAAAACTTGTTTTGTGAGGGGAAACTTGAAAGGCATAGGTACACTACAGAAGAAACTAAGCGAATTTGATGAGTGCCCTCATGCCTGTGAAAGGGTTGCTATGTAAAGGGTGGTGATTAACTAGTCTTCAAATTCTCTGTAGAGCAACAGAGGTAATAATGCTTGTTTCTAGAAGGTAATGCTCAGGTTGGATGTTAAAGCAAAACATTTGGCTTTTAGGTTTATGAAACACTGAATCTGGTTGTCCACAAAGACTGTGAAATCTCTTTTGCCAGAGAAGTGGTTGGGCAGACATCTGTTGAGGACGGTGGTCTCTGAGGTCCTTATGGGTGTATGTTGAAACAATTCTTGCGTACGGACATGGTGGAATTAGAAATATTAATTGAAGAAAACTGCTTTGGAATCTGCAAATGTGTCCTTGGGCCTGGATTTTTATGTAGCTCTAGTAGGAAAGGACCACGATGTACCCTTCTCTACCTCCTCTTTAGTGTGTTGCAGGAGAGTATGTGTGTGCTTAGTGAAGGGTTTGCTTTTAGGTATGCACCTCTTAAAAGTGTCTTCCACTGGTATACTGAGAACGACCTGTCTCTTGATTGTGAAAACTGTTAAGACAAACCATTTAAATCCGTTTCACCCTATTTATAAACTGTATGTTTGTTAAAACATCTTGGATGGCTGCTACTTTACAGGGATGCTCTCTGGAAAAGAGCTAACTTCTCTAAGGAAGATGCCAAGGGATAAAGCGTTCAAGGAGGAGGGGAAAAAAGCTTAGCCTCTGCTGCCGTGTCTCGACCAAAGGATATGCATACCGTATAGTGGAAAGTGGCAAAACAGAAGTGTGGTGTTGATCGTGTCATTAAGACATTAATATGTCAATGTTGTTAATAGGCTGTTGGTTTCCTTATTAATGATCTCTTGGGATAACTCAATTGGAAAATTGGAGGTGTTTCCAGTCAGTGCTTCTATAGACCGAGTGTCTCTTTTCATTTTTCAGCACATGTCAGGGAGAAGGGCTTCTAGACAGATTACGTGCTTTTACACAGCTTGAAAAAAATAAGAAAAACCAATTATCATTCCATTATCTTATTGGGCTAAAAAAAATGTATGTTTGTTTTTTTATTTTATTTGGTAACTTAAGTTACTTCTAATGTGTTAAGTATTTGTGTCTTGTCCAAAATGAGATACTTGTTCTTCTGCTAGCAAAAGGTCCAAAAGTGTTACTTGAGTGAGCTGACCTGTTGCTGTATTATTTTGCCTTAGTACTTCTATCAGCTTTCTGTTTTTAAAATTCTTGGAGGATTGGGAAGGTGTGGCAAAGCTATTCGGAATGTAATGTTACTGAGCTGGTTAAACAGAAGTTATGTCATGAAAAACTGATTTGATTAGTTCAACTCATTACTTCAAACATTAAAGATTTTCAGTCTTTCACATCAGTAATGCACAATTTGTGGCTGACTTATTTGCCAGCAGTGGTTTGGAGTTGAAATCTGGATCCTGCATTGATTTGCCTGTTAGATAGAAGGAAACAAGCTCAGTTTAAGACAGTAGGAAACTTGAATGTCATTTCTTGCCATGTATTTCAGAACTCTGAAATGCGTGCCTCAAACTTTGGTGAACCAGTGCAATACAAATCTTGGCAGTGTTTAGAACTTCCCTCTGTGTGCACTGAAGCTTGTAAGAAATCTCAACATCTTTGTCATAAGGGATTCTGTATACTTTAAAATTCTAGTAATTTTTCTAAAAAGCATGTGAAATCAATTTTCTGAGATAATCTGACTGTACACTGTAACTTCTGTGATTTACGTTATTTTGGTGGGTTTTGATGGGATATTTGCATACTCCTTATGTCTTAAGATTGTTTTTTTCATTAATCTGGCAATAGCTGTTTTTAGGAATGAAGATGTGACTATCAGACTTGGAAGTTTTTGCTAATTTTTTCATGAAGTCAAAAAGATAGAGGAGTGTGAAGACTTGCTGGTGATGATGCCAAAGAGATGTTCTGTATCAAATGAATAATTTAGCTTTGTGAAGTTGAATTTTCTATGTATATTTTTAGAGGTGGGAAGAACAGCATTATCGAATTCTAGAATTAATCTGAGAATTAAAATGAATGCAACTCAACCTCTCTTAGTTGATTCATTGTCACAAAAGTAACAAAATAGCGCAGTTTTGACTAGTAGGTGATTTGAGCTTTAAAACTGATGAATCCAGGATATAGTCTACCCAGTGCTTAATAAACATAATTTGAATTTTGGTGGAAGATGAGTGTTGGACTAGGTGATTTTTTTGAAGGTCCCTTCCACCAATCCAAACTGTTCTGTGATACTGTGCAAAATGTTTGCTTTTCAGGTAGCTGTGAGCTAAGTGTTTTATAAGTCTTCTTCCAAGACTACTTTAAATTCCTATCTCTTTAGAATACTTGTGGTATTGTGTTTTATTGAAGTCACTATCAATAAATTTAAAGCTGTATTAAGTAGCAACTAGAATAAGTTATTTTCTGTTCTAGTCTATAATCTGTTCTACAGATATACAGGTTTATGGTGTAGCCAATTCAACAGAACAGCCACATTTTTAAAGATCCTATTGTAATTACCTGATAAAAAATTTAAACTAGATAATGCTATATTTAAATGCAGTGACTAGGGAAGATTTATGTGCTAGGGTCTTGTTACAGGGACGGCAATATGGATTGCTTGTTTCATTTTAGTTAAAATTTGGTATTTTTTTTGAATGAAACTTTTCTGCATGGGTAAGGATTTTGAAACCTGTTGTTGCATGAGGTATTTTAAATTGGATGGTATAAGGATTAGGTTATCTGTGAATGATAGGAGTATATGTGGTATCTGTAGGATTAGCTGTGTAGCATTCAACCCGCTTTTCTGAGAGGATGGTGTCTAAGCAAGGCTTTCAGTTTGTGGCCTTTTGTGACACTTGCTGTTGTCAGTACTTAGATTTTACTAGACATGCAATTACTGCGTCAGATTTTTTTTCTGTAGTGGGTAAGGTCTGGATCCTGTGGATACCAGCCTAGTTCAGTATCTCATTTGCTATCTAGGTGAGGTACTGGAAGACTTTTTCTGAGATTAGCAGAGCATAATATGATGTCGTACATGTTAACGGAGGATTAGAAGTCAGCTCTCATTCCCTGACTCTTGAGTGCTTTATGTTTCATTTTAAGCTTTAATGTAGTTCCTTGAACTTCTGTTTCTTTGAATTTTTTTTTTTTTTTGACAATAAAATCTTTTAAGCTACTTTCTAGCATGTGATAAGGTGCTGTATACTATGTAAAATACAGCATGATTATGTTGTAATATGTATAGCAGTAGTCCGGGTGTTGAGACTGTGATTACTGTAGCAGTGCAAATCACAGCTTAATGATTCCAGATGAAGTTGTGAAGTTAAGGAAGTGGACCATGGATAAATGTGGCAATAACCAACTCCTACCAAATTAGAGACAGTATGATTTGTTTAAAGTCTTGTTTCCTATTTTTAAGAAGTATCCAGGAGAGACAGGCTTGCTCTAGCTTCTGAACTGGCAGATTAAGAAAACTCTGAAGTGTGTGTGGTGGGGAAATGAAGTTGTATTGCTAGCCTTTAAATCAACAGGGTCTGTTTTAATTTCTTAAAAGCAAACAAAACCATAAAAAAAACCCAAATCCTGAAACCCTGACTAACTCTGTATGTGTGAATTAGAATGATACAAGTCAAATATGTCTTATGAGTGTTTCAAGCGTGTACTGAATGTTTAAGGACACAAAATTTACATGTATGTGGAACCTCTTATTTAAAGATATATTTGATTTCTTACTGATATGTATTATTTTATTACATATATAAAGGAAAGGTTCTACAGGCATGCAAAAATGTATACATATCTGTATAAACCAGCTATTCCATAGACTGTTATACAAGTGCGAGGCCAAAGAATTAAAGTGTCTCTGTGAACAAACAACCCTTTATTTTTAGCTTGATGGGAAAATTACACCAACTAACTCACTTGTTTTCTTTTACTAGAAATGACTACCCCAAACAAGACACCACCTGGTGCTGATCCAAAGCAGTTAGAGAGGACTGGTACTGTTAGAGAAATAGGCTCACAAGCAGTTTGGTCTCTTTCATCCTGTAAGCCAGGTAAAATCACAACAAATGATGTAAGAAGCTGAATGTACATTTTTTTTTTTTTTTCTTAGAATATGTAGTGCTTTATGCTTTTATAAGAAGACATACATACAGAGCGTAGCAGTAAAACTGCTGTAGTGTAAGCTGTATGGGTAGCCACTACAAATAATTTTGATGCACTCCGTGTTTGATGCAATGTGAAAGTTATAACTAGATCAGAAATCCTAGAATGAGGAAGTACCTCATAGTAACAAAACATATTTTTTTTTTCATTTGTACAGTGAACAAACTAAACTGAGTGAGCAGAAACACACCCAAGCGCTGTGTAATTGTTTCTATGCTTTGGTATTTTGCCTGAGTATCTTAAACTTTTAACTTAGAAAAACCATGCAACTGGGCAGCCTAAATGTTCTGTCCAAACTTTGTGTGGACTCTGCCATTATAGTGTAGCTCCCTAAAATCCTGCAAGTAAAATGGAACGATCATAAATGGTCCTGAGGTGCCATTGATGTTACCTTATACCTGCTCAAAATATCTGAAAATCTGTATTCTTTTCATTTGAGGAGGTTGAGTTGCTGTTTCAGAAATATCTGTTGGGAATTGATCTGGTATTTTGCTGAAGCCTGGAGTCAATGATCCCTTTATGTCACAGTGATATGCTCAGGCTGAATGTCTTTGGTCTGATATCCTGGTATCTTACTTGAAGAAAAATATCATATGGTTTATTTGCTTCAGAGTGAAGATAATTTTTTACTGCCGTTTTTATTAAACTACATTTTTATTAAACTTCAACTGCTGATTTAAAACTGCAGCTAGTGTGGGCAATCAATGAAAGGACAGATAATGAGGGATCAGGAAAAATGAAGGTTTGGGGTTGTTTCTTCAAATGTGACAGCATTAACTCTCAGGATTACTGTCTTTTTTTTTTTTTGTATCTATGGCTTGTTCTAGCTACTAACTTGAAAAAGTAAAAATATTTCAGGAGACTACTTGAATGTTATATTTGGCTAAAATTTTATAATAAATGAATGGTCTCTGCTAATGATTTTCTTATAGTTCAACAGTTAGATTATAGAATATGTAGAAAAGCCTACCCATGAAGTGTTTTTCTTGCAATTAGTATGAATTACTACATAACTGTTTGAAATTTCAGGACATGTTGAATGGCTTCAAACCTCTCAGACTTCAGTAGAAAATAGGCATGCGAAGATACTCAAGTACTGAGCTTTGACAGATTCCCCTTTTTTTGGTTTTGTGTTACAAAAACGTAGGCACAACTTGGATATCTAGAAGTATTTCCTTATATGTTATAACTTAGGATACGTGCTTTAGTTTGTAACAGATGAAGAAGAGTTATGTCTGTGATGTCTGCATTCAAGACTATCACATTTTCTTTTTCTTAGGATTTGGAGTGGATCAGTTACGAGATGACAATCTAGAAACTTACTGGCAGTCAGATGGATCACAGCCTCATTTGGTGAACATCCAATTTAGGTATTAAAATTACTCCATATGGGTTAGGGTGTTTTGTATAACTACTGATTACCGTTCACCAAGATAGGAGTTGTGGAAGTGCAAGGATGCCTGGCTTAATCCTTGTTGCTCAGCTGGTAAGAAGCCAGTTAGATAGCATTTGTAAAAATTAAATTTTCAAATGTTGTGGTTACTAAATATCTAAATAAGCAACAGAAAGAAATGTTTAGTAGTATGTAATATATAACAGTTTCATATTTATCTATCTAGGGTGACATTTTTGTCCCGACTTTCCGTCTTTGAGTGTAATTTGAAGGGTAGATGACTGCTTTAAAGTAGTCCTATATGACTTAACGGTTGATTGAGAAACCTTTTCCTGTTCTATTGTGTAGGATGCTTTCAGTCCTTTTTCTTTCATCAGACTCTTAAGTTGAGGTTAGATGTTTGTCACCTTTTTTATTTGCTTTCTGAAGAACGCTTTGGTATAGTAATAGAGCCCATATTTGATAAGCTAAACATATGCTTCATCACATACAAGTGCTTATTTGTCATCTTGGCCTTTTGTTGTGTTTCTTGGTATACTGACTCTTCTGAAGGCAGACAAAGGAGAACAGTGAAAATCAAGTCTGTGTGTGTAACTTAAAGCAACTGTGTGTTTTTCCACATTAACAGTGGGGTTCTTATAAATCAGTAGACACACTTGTATTAAGTTTTAGAACATTTAAATCCTTAGTTATTACAAACTAGCAACAAACCCATCCTGAATATTTTTCTTTGCAATGCTTACATAGCTTTTTTTGCTTCTTGCAGAAGAAAAACAACAGTGAAGACGTTATGTATTTATGCAGACTACAAATCTGATGAAAGTTACACGCCAAGCAAAATCTCTGTCAGAGTAGGAAATAATTTTCATAATCTCCAGGAAATCCGGGTAGGTCAATGATGCTCTGTTTTCTGTCTTAAAATAGTCTTCTCTTTAGGACAGCTGATGTAGTAAAATCAGGTTTGGAGGTAAAACATGGCATTGTGCTTGGAGGGGGAAAATGGGTGGATTTCTTTGATGTTTGCTTTTAGTTTTTATCTCTAGGGTGCTTCCTGTTTTTTATCAGGCCCTATTCCCAACATGGTTATAATGGACTTGATATATAGATCCTGTAATGGAATAAAGAGAGGAGTTTTCCAAAACAGGGCTGTTCAGAATTGGTTAAATTTTTATCTCACTTAAAATATCTGAAAACCCTCTACAATACATACCTCAAAAGGGAGACTTAGCTTTTAAATACTTGCATTTTTAGACTTAACTTGAATTCATCCTTTTTTTTTTTTTTCATGAATGGGTTGGTCAGCTATTGAGTCTCACTAGGAATCAGAATTTAAAACTACAGGTTTTAGTTATGGCTGTGTATGGTGCTTAAGTATCTTTGGAGTCTGGATTTCATTTTTGGGAGGCTACGTGTACTCTTATTAATTAGTAGCATCTGATTCAAAACTGACTTCAAGACCTTGGCAAAAAAAAATTGTGACACAAGGCCTGATCCTCAGTTGTGCAAAGATTTGTTTGTTTTACGGGTTAGAGAATCTTCATGACTGAGAATCTGTTACCTATTTGCCAATAGCTGACAGTAGCCACTACTGATGGTGAGAGATAGCAGAAGTGCAACACTAACTTTTCCAAAACTGTAGACAAAGCAAGCAAGATAATTGAAATTGGAAGTCTAATGTAAATTACAATCAGGTGTGTTCTTAAATGATGTTTTACTTTTGAGTATAGTTTCTAATCTTTTGCAGTGTTTTTTTTTATACTGGGCAGTCACCAAGATGTAGAAATTTTGGAAGGGATGTTGCATTTTTGTTTTTAATAATATGATGGAAAAATCTAATTTCCATTTCTGTAGACATGATGTGTGATGCTTAAGACTTTGCATGGGACATAGATTTGTGGTGTTTTATTAATATTTTTATTTACAAAAGTTGTAATGGTCAAAAACAGCATTTTTTTCTTGGTGGCACTTCCAGTCAGAAAAAAGTTTCTTTGATGGAACGACTGAGATCAGATTTGCATTGCTTTAACTGCTTAGTTTTGCTAGCCTTTTGGTAAATTGTAAAAGTGGATTTAAAATAATACATGATCTTTGTAGAAGTCCACCTTGTAAACTAATCAGGTTACTCATAAGCAGGTATATTCACTAATTTTGAGTTATAGTAGCCTCATGTTTCAGATTCTTCTCAGGAGTTCAGCAGCTACTGGCTGATGTATTGGGAAGGTTTAAGTTACCTCCCTTATATGGCTGGTTTTACAATGACAGAAGGATTGTAATGTTGAGAAAAGGGAGATGCTAAATAGTGGTTTGAATTTTTACTTTCGGGATTTTTATTGTTTTCACTTTGTTTTTCAGTGTTTGAAGTCCCAACAAGAGCAACTTATAAATAGAAGGTTGTAGATATAGTGGGGATAGAAAGTATAGTAAACACGTATGCCTCTATTGTGTTGGTGCTATGTGTCTTTATATCCTTTCAAAGATTTGTGATGTTTTCTCAAGTTTTGACCAGTAGTTTTATCCTAAACCTTAAATTGAAGGGTCTTTATTTTTTTAAATTAAATATTCTTTTGAAAGAAATGAATCATCACATTACTTTGACTTTCATTAGCTGCAAATTGTCTTTTGACCTTCTTAATTGTATTGTCGCAATTTGGGAGCTGCACCTGGTATAGCAGTAACAGCACCTGGATCTTTTCCTTGTTAGGCTGTGGGTCTGTTTTCCGAGTGTCCACTAGATGTCATTATTGTCCTTAATTAGAGTGATTTTGTGCTTGTCCTCTCCTTTTCCAGCAACTAAATGATTATCCCTTTATAATAATGTTTAGTACAGCATTATATGTATAACCACAATAACTTACATTTCTTATACAGTGACAGACTTCCACTTTGGAGGGTATATGTGTTATTAAAGATCTATGGAAACAATAAAATGCATAATAAGCATGTTAGTCTTATGCAGTTTCTCAGGCAATATTTATTTAGCTTTTTTTCTTGCTAAACACAGGATTCTATGCGTAATATATTTAGTTAAAGTAACTTCTAAATGAAAAAAGTTACTGTTATTTTTTTTTATAGTATATTAATATGACTGTACAGTGATGCATGAGAGCAGTAGTTCTATGCATACCACATGCTCGTATACTTTTTTTACTTCAAAACTGAGAAGAAAATATGGTCAAGCTGCTTACTTATGACATACAATACTTTGATGCTGTAAAATACTAGCGACTAACTTTGTTGCCACTGTAATGTTAAATACTGCTGTCAATTTTCATATTTCCTAAACTGCTTGACACTCAAACTATGTTCCTTAAGTTTTCCTTCAGTCTTGAAACTTTCTCTTTTCTTGAGCTTCTCTGACACATAAGCAGGTTACTAAAGCAGTGTGAACTGTTATGAGCTCTTTAGAGAAATCTTAATTATACAATGATTCCATTGGCTTCAGGACTGATTAACTGGGTGGAAAATGCAGCTAAATAATTTTATATTTTTCCATGGATCCTTGCCCAGCTCATAGTGTCTAATGAAAGTCCTATGATGCCTCCGTGTGTTTTCTTCCTGATGGTTTAATGTTCAAAAAAATGCAATGTGCTCTTAAAAGATTAGCTTTAGTTAGTGGTCTAGTAGGTAGACATGTCTTTTTTTGGAACCTAAGATGAAATTAATTTCTGAGTAAAAGTTTTTTCCCTCTGAGAAACAAGTTATTTGTACCCCATTTTATGGGTGAGAACAGCCGTCATAATCTGGCAGTTTTATTCCCTTGCTCAGATGGAGGGAACTACAGTTAAGATGTATGCAGTAAGCCTTTTCCTCTGACTTAAGTGCCTTTTTATCACAGCTGTCAAGCTTGGAGAGCAAATATTTTCTCACTTCCAGTCTCAGTTCTCCCACACAATGGTGCAACCAGTCTGGATGGACAAGATAGACATTTTTGGAGTAGCATTCAAACTCTTCAGTAAGTGACTTAAGTTGTTATACTTTCTCAGGATACAAAAATAACCCAGTGCAAAGGATGCAAGTGAAATGTTGGCTGCAAAAGATCTCTGGTCTCTTCAAATAATGCTCACCTGCTTTTTGCCTTTGTACCTGTCTAAGACATTTAGGTCATCAGCAGTTCATCTTGCCATAAAAAAAATCAAGTGGTGTGATACTAAGTGCCGGCAGAATTTCAGATTATATTCACCTAGTAGTTTCAATGGCTTCTGCAGTTAGCCTATTAATGTAAGGACTTTACACAGCAAAGCAAGGCACCTGTGAACTCTTGTATCAGCCAGTTCTCCACCTTTGGATATAAAAGACACTGGGAAGGTGTGGGTCAGACTTTCTCAAAATAGTTACTTGTTTCATTAGTTCACATCTGAGAAGCCATTGATCTTCAATCCCCAAATTAAAGTTATTTTAAAAGTCAGAACCCCTCTGGAAAAAGTCTTCTTTTCTGCTGTGTGCTGTAGAGAACTCAACAACCAAATGTGACATACATATCTTGGCTGTAACTGGGTAAGATGCAACTAGACAGGTGTAATTTCCTTTCTATTCCAGTAAGAGTTAGTTCTTCCAGCACACTTTTTGGACTTTCCCATGATTTTTGATTTGGAGTATGACATTTTTCATTTAGATGTGTAGTTCAGAGAAACTGGCGAACTTTGATAGGACCAAACCGTTGCTAGTGCATGACATAGCTGTGTGTACTCTGCTATTCAGATTGCTTAAGGGTATTAATAATCCACATGGCAGATAAGATGTATTAATGTTCAGAACTAAAAGGAAATTGTCAGAAATACCCCACTGAAGGCAGGGAAAGGAAGCCTTTGGCCGTGAATGTGCTCTCTTCATGCAGTAGGGCAAATCTGCAAACAGATAGCATCGTGGCTTTGTGTAACCTAGGTAAGCAAGGTGTTTTCTCTTGGCTGCTTTCGGGAGCCATCCAGGCTGAAGCATTGCTGCAGGAGAAGGGCAGCTCCCCTGCTTAGCTGCCTTTCTAGGTATGCAGTACTCTGTCACTGAGCAGCAATGGAGAGCCCTTCTGTAGGAAAATGACACTTTGTCACTGGAGGTCCTATGTTTCAGATTTTGCATTAAAGAATGATACTGAATATTAAACATTGCATTGTGGGAGGCTTGCTTTAACTCAGTTGCTGTATGCCTTCCTCTTGAAACAAAAGCCTACTTAACCTTTTCAACAAGCCTCAGTTTTGTAGATGACTTTGAAGACTCAGGTGAAAGCCCTGTTATCTTAGTATGTCTTTGCTGGCAACAGTACGAGTCCTTTGTTTCAGCTTTTTGTTGTCTTTGATTGAATTGCTGCCTGTTTTGTTTTCAGTTTGTTTTCTAGCCCTTTTGGTCTTGCCTGGTGTTTTTGTGCCCAGGTGCTCCAGAGCCATGACCAGCACAGGCACACTCATGGGCGGCAGGTACCGTCACTGAGCACCACGGACAGGGCAGCTTCGCCGCTCTTTTTAAGAGATTCTGCACCAGGGCAGGGAATTCTCAACCAGAGGAATACCCCAACTGGGCAGCTTTTCCAAGAGGTAGTTAAGGAAGTCGGACCCTATTGTAATCTCTTTACTCCTACAGAATCCAGTGATTGTAGTGAAGAGGCTGGACTTGTCTAGACGTTTTCTGAAATTCAGCAGTTAGCAATCTCAACCTGTTTTCTGTATGTGGAGTAAACTTGGATATCAAGGAGAAAGGAGGTGCTAACTCATAGGGCTGTTGCAAGCCAATGAAACATGAAAATGCACTGCTTCTGAGTCTGATGAAACATCTCTAAGGTACATTTTAAACTGCTTTCCTCTGAAGATGGAGTACTGAGTTGGTACTGCTTGACTTGGCTTCAAGTACTTTCGTTAGAAACTGCCTGTTACTGTTTGACTAGGCTTCTTCAAGTACT